CACACACACACACACACACACACACACACACACCCTGAAGTGAGGGACTTTATTTTGAAACTTGATCCAAAACTTGAAGGACACATTGGCAGTGGTAAAGAATAATATCCTGGGTTTGAAGGCCTCAGAATTCTCACGTGTCACCATCACCAGTTGTGAGGGGGTGTATGTGTGTGTGGAAGGAGGAAGAAAGGTGAAAAGGGCCCCAATTGTCTGCACTGCTGCGACGCTGCGTGCTTGGGCTGGCATAGCTGAGAGTGAGCAAACGTGCGCCTCTGTGCATGTGCTCGTGGCTTTGTGACGCCGTGCCCCGGAGCACGGAGTGGCTGGCGTGGCTGCAGCGTCAGGGAGGGAGGGCATCGCCAAAGGAGGGGAGAGTGGGGCTTTGAAGGATGACTCCTGGAGCCTGAAGAACAGGAGACAGGGCTCTGCCTCACTCACCACCCGGTAGTTTGGTTGATGGAAGCACTGTCTTTGCGGTGTCTGTTGGCCTGGCAGCTGCAATTTATTCATGTTGAGGTAGTCACAGCTGTTGAATACTTCTAGAATTGTCACATCTTTGAATTATTGTTTCCTGTGCTTGAGCCTCACTAACCCGGAGTAGGTGAAACTTTTCTGCTCAGATACCCCTGTACCAGCCCCAGTTTGAGGGAGACTGTCCCTTCTGTCACAAAGAGCCCCGTTTGTATTGCTCAGCAAGGTGCTGCCTCCTTGAATATTTCTGTTTCCTGCGTACTTAGCTGCTATTGCATTTCCTTTTTTATGCTAGATATAAAGAAAGAATAGTCTTCATGTTAAACAGGAAGGTTCAGTCTATGCTCAACAAGAAATATATTTGGTCTGAAGAGCTCATGATAATCATAAAAAATCAGTGTCATGAAATATTTGTTCTTTCTACCAATAACCTTCCTGTATCTTTTTTTTTAATTATTACAAAAGTTTATTTTTACATCATTTTGCACATTTTTTTTTTTCCATCTCGATTGTAATCCCCGCGAGTTTCCCATCACCAAATCACCCATGTGCCACCACCATAGTCCCGTGCATTTCCCTCCCTTTCCTTCCTGTATCTTTTTAATATAAAACATTCAGAATGCTCAGCTCCGAGGCCTCTGAGGAGTTGTAACGGACCATCTGTTTCACTTCCGGGTGGAGAATGCGCCCATCCTGCTATGCGTGCATAACGCTGCCAGCTCTGTGTTAGCAAAATGCTCATTATCGTGCTCTCAGAATTGTATTGGAAAGAAATTCTCTGCTAAACTTGATTAGGCTTTAATCAAAGTTTCCTTTTTCCCCATCTAGTACTCACCAGCGAGGGCATTGTGTTCATCTCAGACTTCTCTCCCTCTAAGCCGCCCTCAGGCCCTGGGAAAAAAGTTTACATCTCCAGCCCACACTCCAGCCCCTCCCACAGCAAGCTGGCTGCGGCCACCGGTGCCAAGAAGGCTCTGAATAAAGTGAAAATCTTACTCACTCAAGAGAAGCCGAGGTAAGCCAGGGTGTAAGCCACCTGCGTACAGCTGTCCACGAGCACGTCCTCACTGTTGGGGGTGTGCTGGGGTTGGCTTCCGTACCTGCGCCCTTCATGCTTATCACTTTAAGTCTAAGCTTGTTAGCACAACTTCGTTCTTTAGTTTCAGCAGCCAACCCGGATCCCTGGTCTCCCCGACCGTGCTAGACTCCGCCCTCCCCTTGACTTCAGAAATAGGTGAAAACTCTAACATTGAGGCTACTGAGTACATTTAAAGGTGAGAACAAGGCTGGATCGTATTAAATACATCCCTGCCTTACATGCTGTGCTCTTTTATTACCCTAAAATAAGATGTTTCCCACACTGGTGCGGGGCCTGGCTAGGAGGGACTGTGACTGGACTCATTTGGCGTCAGTTTCACTCTCCCAGTGTCAAAAGAGGATGCTAAAGGTTTTCATCTAGTTGTAATAATTAGGACCTAAGGACTTAGCATAGTGGAAGTATTCGCTCGGTAGGTGCTCGCTGTTAGTGTTTATTTCAGAAAGTACAGCAGGATAAAATTTTAAGTAACCCATTGCATGCACTAGAAGTACATTTCTTTTTCTAGAGCTTTTATTGCCATATTTTAATTGCTTTGATGGTGTGTTTTACATTCACTTTATAAAGTGTTTTACATTCATTTTATCTGTGACTAGAATTACCTTTTTGTAGGTAATTACCTGAAAAACTATTGCAAAGTATAAATTGCTCTACAGATCATTCTAAATTTATATGCAGATATGAATTTTATGTATTAAACCGCTGGCTGATTGTCCAGTTTGCCCCACGCCCCACCCTATGAAATAATTAAGGTAGCTTCTTAGCTATCTTAAGGGGTCTTCCTATTTATTTTTCATTGATTCTGTGTTATACATAGGTTCCTTTTTGTAGTGTCAATAGTTCTGTTAGTTGTGATTTCCATGTTATGTTTTCTGCTTTGTGAATGATAGGTGCATATGTTCACTTTGAATCTTAGAGAAATGCACTTGGTACCCCTTAAATAGAAGGATTCTGGGTGCTTCCACATACTTGGTTACATATAACTTCCTAGAGTCCTGGGAAGTACTATTGAGTTCCCCTTTCTTTGAAATCTGTTAGTAAATTCACTTAAGGAAATGGCAGAACCAGCATTGAAATATAACTCACACCTTCTCTCTAACTTTACTTTAAATTGCAAAACCTATAAAATTGCTTTGTAAAAAGCAAATAGTATAGAATTATGTCTGCTCCTGTTGAAATGTAATTAATGTTAAAATGTGATTAAATGCATACAACAATCACAGACTACTAAAATGATTTCTAACACTTTTTAGCAGTCTTAACTGTCAAACTCTGTATAATATTTTACTACCCTGATAAAGTTTATTTATTTACTCAGAGGAAAATGCTGACTGAATTAAATACCCTCTTTATCTCAAAACAGGTTGAGGGCAGTGGAAAAGCCCTCGGGCAGAGAGGAGGGAGGCCCGGGCCACAGGTCGGCCGGCCCCGACCCCGACCGCAGTGGCGGCTCAGTCTGTCCAGTCACCCAGGAGCCCCACAGCACTGTCTTCCGATGCAGCGCGGGCTCCTGCTTTAGATTCTCCAGCCCTAGACCTCTGTCCCTCTCCAGCTGTACAGTGCTGTTGCCAGCTGGACTCTGACTAAAGCCCAGGTCTCAGTTTTGGGTGCCAGCTCAGGCCAGTCACTTTAGGACATAGTCTGCGTTCTCCCTGACAATTACTGCATGGAGGAGCACAAGTTAATCCCCTCTGAGCTGTTTCTGATGGAAGTCTCTCCATGCCGACAGTGAACCTTTCCTCTTTGCAGCGCGGAGTCTGTCACGCTCAATGATTGCCTCCAGCTGGCTTATCTGCCTTCCAAAAGGAGCCACATGCTGTTGCTCTACCCGCGGGAGATTTTAATCCTTGACCTCGAGGTGAATCAAACAGTGGGTGTGATTGCCATAGAACGGACAGGAATTCCATTTCTGCAGGTATCTAGAGTTCTGAACTGTACCCCTTAAAGCTGATTGTGAAAGGTATATGGTGGGAAGCCGTACACCTTTGCGAAAGCCCTAGTTCTGCTTCCCCTTTTGTATTTATTTAAAGATGAACGATGTTGTTTTATTCCTTATTTTTCTGTACTCTTGAGTTGCTTTATCCTAGAAATTCTGTCTTATCTGGAGATATTTACTGAACTATTTAAGTGACAAGTTCTTTTAGGATATAAATGGATTTTTAAAATACTAATTAGTTTTAAAACTTGGCAACTGCTTGTGTAGTGTTTTTTGCCTAAATTCTTTAAGCCTGAGTTTGAGTTCCACAGTCTATACTTTATTGTTCTGTTGTATTTTTTTAAAGATTTACTTATTTATGCATATGGAACTGGGGTATAAGCCAGAGGTACAGGGGTGTGAGAGGACTCCTCAGAGACAGTGGGGAGCAGAACAGGCCGACTGACAAAGTACACTGCTGAGGGGAGCAGCGGGCAGTCAGGAGAGGTCTGCTGTACCATGTGGTCACCTCCAGGGCAGGGATCAAACTCATGCTGAAGTGGCTTCAGCTTAGTGCTGTGCTTTAACCCGCTGCACTACCAGGGAGGGCCCTGTTCTGTTGGATTTTTAAAAGTAAGCACATGTCTCTTTGAAGGTAATACCCTGCTTTCAGCGTGACGGTTTGTTTTGCCTACATGAGAATGGTTGCATCACCTTACGTGTTCGGAGATCTTATAATAGTATTTTCACCACTTCAGTTGAGGATCCAGGTAAGTTTTCTCTTGCAGTAATGTTAATTACATTTTTCTTCAAAATTTTATGAAGCTTCATGTGGCAAAGGCCAGCCAAAGCAAGGAATGAACGAGAAACCTTAAAAGCAGGATATGTTCACACACCCTGTCTGCGACCGAGCACTGTCTTGTCGCTCGCTGTGGCCACGCGCCGGTGGGTGTATCTTCTGTGATTTTTCTAATACTGGACCAACCTTGTATATGCCGGTGTGTGACCACATCTTTTGTCTGCTCTAGGCATTTTCATTATAGTTACAAGATTAAAAAAAGTCTCCAGTGCATTCAGTGGTAATTCTCAGTCTTATCCTGGAGAACAGAGAGTTGTTTATGAATGATGTGCTAATAAGCAGAGTATGATCACTGCAGTTCTCATCATCTCTCAGCTGCTCATTGTTTAATCATGCATCGTTGATTCTTTTCCAAAACATTTTATTTCTTTCAAAAATATTGTGAAGCATGTTATCTTGCTAGGTTATTTTGTAATTAAACTTTGTGTCTTTGTGTAGACCATCATTAAGTGGATTATCTTTATATGCTGAAAACATTAGTAATATTGTAAGAGGGGAGGCTGTCCTTGACTAACTTTGCAGTAGCGGAGGGTGTTATCCTTTTCAGCTGAGGTTTTAGTTACCTGAGAACACTCCATTTTGAGCTTTTACCTAAATGACATGGCTGTGTCTGGCTGTTTAAAAGAAAACAATGTTATGTTAAGACCCAGATCCTGTCCAGGAGCTGACCTATGATTTACGGAGCCAGTGTGACGCCATCCGGGTGACCAAAACCATCCGTCCCTTCAGCATGGTGTGTTGTCCGGTCAACGAGAACGCGGCTGCCCTCGTGGTGAGCGACGGCAGAGTCATGATATGGGAACTGAAGTCTGCTGCTTGTCACCGAAGCTCGCGGAGCAGGTAAACGACTCAAGAGGATGGGAGTTTTCTGGTCTTTAAAAAAAATTTCTTGAAATCACCACAGTATCTATCCTGTGAAAATATTTTTAAAGTGATACTTAAAACTTTGCACTACTGGGGACTGGGTAAGCCTGCTAGCGATATTTCACTTACAGTAAAATTAATAAACACTGTGGAAATAGGCAGAATGTCAGCCCCGAGCTGGAAGTGCCGACTGTGGGGCAGGTCCTAACGTGTGACACCCTCTGCCATCTGTCTCTGCAGTAGCTCTGGGGTGTCGCCTTTGTACTCGCCGGTGTCTTTCTGTGGGATTCCTGTCGGGGCGCTGCAGAATAAACTCCCAGACCTCTCCTTAGATAACATGATCGGTAAGCTTCTGTTATTGCTCTATTTCTCATGTGAGGGATTGGTTCGAAGGGCAGAATCTAAGTAGAACCATTGATGGGCATATAAAATCAAAGTTAATACTTAAGAAAACTCAACTGTAGAATCCTTCTATCCTAAATGAATACAAAATATAGTTAAACATTAAAGTCCCTGGCCCTCCCTGGTGGCGCAGTGGGTTGGAGCGCTGCACTGCGAAGCTAAGCCAAGCTGTGGCTGCTTCAGTGCGAGTTCAGTCCCCGCCCCGGGGGTGACCCACAGGGCGCAGCAGACCTCTCCTGTCTCCCCTCAGCGGTGTACTTTGTTGATCTGCCTGTTCTGCTCCCCACTCTGTTTATGGTGAATCCTCTCACCTCCCCTGCACCTCTGGCCTGTACCCCATTTTTGCATGCATAAATAAAATCTTAAAAAAAATAAAGTCCCTAAAGTAGCCTAGGTTGTTTTTTTCTGTTAACTGAAATTAGACTGTGTTCGTTCATGAGAGACTGATTTCAAGGGAAGACGCCAGACGCTGTGCCTCTGGGTGCCAGCTGAGGCCCTTGCTGTAGCCACCGCCCACTCCCAGCTTTCACGTGCTGCCCGCAGGTCACAGTGGAATACCTGCTTCTTTCTGCAGCTCCTAATTCTACATTTAACTCCAGCACAGCTTTCTTTAACCTCTCAAGCCTGATTTCAGTCTTCTTTTGTGGACACTAATAGTTGTCAGCTGTATCGTATGGTGGCTTTTTTTTTTTTAATTTGTTTCCTCCAGTTAATGACGAGTTCTGTACGAGTGGGATAGTGCTTGCTTCAGCCTTGTCCCCCAGCACTCAGCACAGGGCCTTGCACACTCCAGGTGTGCAGAGTTTTGTTTTTGACGAGAATGGCTTTTTGAAATTGAAGTGACCCTGGTTTACAGCCCTGTGTGTGTTTCAGGACTACAGGTTCACACCTTCTCAAGTGATAGTTATCACTCCACGTCCACCACCAGAGTGCCACTGACCCTCCACCACAGTCCACTGGACTGCCGTCATCCTGTGCTCACTCCTGGCTCCCACTCTGGAATCCTCAATTCTGGGGACAGAATTTAAGGGTTTGTTTTGTGTGGTCCCTGTCTTTGTTTCTTTGCATTCCACATGAGTGAAATTCTTGGGTATTTTTCTCCTGATTCATTTCTGCTTAGCAGAATTCCATCATACCCAACCATGTCCCGTATTGCTAGGCTTTAACTTTTTATGGCCCAGTAGTATTCCATTGTGTGTGTGCATACACACGTACATGTACCTGTGCACAAACCCTACGCCTTTATCCACCCATCTGTCAGTGATCCTTAGGTTGTTTGCATATTGTGGCTATTATAGACAGTGCTGCAAGGAATATAGGTGTACTTATTTTTGGATTAGTGGTTTTATAATTTTCAGATGTACTTCCAGAAATGGAAATGCTGAATTATATGGAAATCTATTTTTAATTTTTTGAGGAACCCCCCTAGTGTTTTCTAAAGAGATTGCACCAATTTACATTCCCACCAATGGTGTGTCAAGGTTCCTTTTATTTCTACACTTGACATTCACTGTTTCTGGTCTGGTAGATAGATTGGTCATTCTCACAGGTGTGAGGTGATACCTCACGGTGGTTTTGATTTGCATTTCCCTAGTAATACATGATGAGAGGCCTGTTGGCCTCTCTGTGTCTGTGGTAGCGAAATGTCTATTCAGCTCTTCTGCCGTTGCTTTTGCCTGTTTCTTTTGCCGTTAGGGTCAAAGCTTGAAACATCTCTAGCTAAAGCCACTGTCGGGAGTGTATTTCCTGTGTTTTCTTCCTATGTATTTGATGATTTCAGGTCTTGCATCCAACTCTTTAATCTATTTTGAATTGACTTTTGTTAATGATGTGAGGTTGTAGTCTGATTTCTTTCTTTTGCATCCTTTTGCAGTTTTCTCAGTGACATTTGTGGAAGAGACTTTTTTCCCTTCATCCATTTTATGCTCTTGGCTCCGTTGTGGTAAATTAGCTACTTGTATATGTGGGTTTTATTTCGGGGGCCTCAATTCCACTTCTGTGTGTGTCTTTTTATGCCATTGCCAACATATTTTGACAGCTGTCACTTTGCAGTATAGTTTGAATTGCAGGAGCATGATATCGCTGTTCCTTTTTTTTTTTTTTTCCCCAGGATTGCTTTGGCAATTCAGGTTTTTTTTTTTTTGGTTCCATACAACTTTTTATAATACTTGTTCTGTTTCCTTGAAGAATGCCATTGCAATTTTGATAGGGATTGCATTGTGAATCTGTATATCATTTTGTGCAATGTAGCCTTTTTAACAATGTTAATTCTTTTAATTCATGAGTGCAGAATATCTTTCCATTACTTTGTGTTGTTTCCTATTTCTTTTAACAATGTCTTAAAAGTTTTCATTGTACAGATCTTTCTAGCATGCAGTATTTAATTGAAGGAATTAAGGAATTGAGCAACATTAGAAAATAATTTTAATCTTTTGACACACATTAGTTTGGGATTCTTCAAACAAATATTTATTTGTAGATAAAATATTTCCAAGTTATTTCTTACTGGAACACTATGTGTTATAGAAGGAGTGAGGATTTGTGATTTTGAGTATTATACACCTAGAACTGCAAGACTTTGTAAATAGTCCAAAAAAGTGGAAGTGTGTCAACTAATTTTGACATCTAACTCTTTGAAAATTCGATGGTGGTTTATAAAGGACTTCATTATTTGTACTTCCATGATGTAATTGAAAGCAGAGATTTTTCAGCAGTTTAACTGTGAGGTGATGTACTAGAAAGGTGTCACCCACTAAGCCTCGGAGCCGAGGTGACACGGACTGCAGGCGTAACCCTGAGAGCGGAGTGGCCCGTGCCTGCAGCAGCCTGCGAAGCAGCGCGCTGTCTCCGGCTGTGCGTGTGCAGTGGAGGAGCAGAGCGATTTTAAAGACTTGCCCCGGACAACAGCTCACAGGAGAAGAGTCCAGATGTGACCTGGTGTCCATCTGGATCCTGCTCCTCCTCCGGCCACAGTCCTTTCTGTTCACAGCAATCGTAGGCAAGACCGGCGCGCTCCAGGCCGGTTTCCTCGTGAAGCTCACAGTGGTAAAATCTTTTGGCTCGTTGACACTGACATTTAAGCTTCTTTCTCTTCACCTTCAGGCATATAAGTCTATGTGAGGACGCTTAGACAGTTGTTTGCAAAATTCATTTTATCAGTCATACAATTTTCTGAGTTAATTGACCTTGTCTGCACTTAATATAAAATCTTAAAGTGAAAAGAATTGTAAGTACTTATACCCAGAACTAATCAGTTAATATGAAACTTACAGAAGGCTGAAATTTTATGCTGTGTAGGTATCTAAATGATATAAACTACATTTTCCAGAAGACAAAAGCATACAGATCGTGTAGCAATTCTTGACAAAGTAATTGATTTAAAAGTACTAAATAAGCAAGCTTTGTTACTTGAAAACATTTTAATTAAAACTTTTAATTAAACTATTAATTTGAAATTCACTGTGTACTTAGCGATAATTGAAAACAGTTCAGTTATACACAGAGGCTTGATTTATATTCATTGTGTGAGAGCTGCTGCTTATTAAGGCCTCCTCTGCTCTGCCTTGTGGATTGCCTCAGGAAGATGCTGGAAGCGACGGTGGCGGGGGAGGTGGGCACGGGCCTCCCTGCCGAGCCGCCTGTTCCTTTGAGCTGTCTTCCCTTACCAGAGGCTGGCGTGGGTTGTGTGGCTGATCCTGAGGGTCCGTTGGTTGGGGTCATAGAACGTCATCTTTTTTCTGTGTCTTACCGATTTTAAAGTAACTATTGTTATGACCTTCCAGCTGCAAGGGTTATAGTCAGGGTTCCATCACACACTCCTAGAAATTATTTACACTTTTCCCTTCACAGTGCGTGTGTGTGTTTATGAATGTACAAAGAATGACGCTCAGGCTATAGTATATATTTTGACACTGGTGATTTATAAGAAGAAAATCTTTGTACTCTTTAGTGAATGATTTTGTTAATCATTTTGTTAAAATGGTTTTTGTTAGTGCTTTCAAAATTTAGTTTGTCTTGAAAACCTTAGTACAAATGTTTTACCTAAAATAATGCCATTGAAGACTTAACTATAATGTGAGTTTATATATTATATAGGTGTATATTAATATCTAAGATACATGTTACATAGTCATGTAGTCATGTAACTATAATGTATAGTTCTCTACTGTTTACATGTTTGTAACCATAGAGCTTAAATTTTGTAATGAACATATTAAGGACATTTCTTCCTGGAAACCTAAATCGTTCGTGGAGCTGCTGACAGTGACTGCCCTTCCGCTGTGATCTTTCAGCACGTCTGACCGCGTGGGGCCCCTCGGGAAGCCAGCAGGCGGTGTCGGTGGCATCCCTCCCACGACAGGCTGCTGCACCCACGGGCTCTTGGTTTGCCTTTCGTTAGTGCCCTAATATCAAGGACTTTAGCTGAAACAGTGTTTTTTAGAAGCCAAAGGTTCCAGCCAGCAAGACTTGGGCACAATATGCTCCTCGACCTGTTCCAGGAGGGCGGTCCAGTGCCGTGGCCGAGGACAGGCGTGGGCTGTGTGGACCTTGAGAGTTGTCTTCCGGCCCTGCCTCTGTCTCCCAGGAGACTTTCAGTAGGTTTTTAAGATCACATACATTATAATTAAGGTGGTTTTTGTTTGTTTGTATGTTTGTTTTTTATGAAATTAGGGCAAAGTGCAATTGCTGGGGAAGAACTTCCCAAAGGCTCCACCCTGCAGGAAGTGCACCTCAAGTTCTTGCTAACAGGGCTGCTTTCGGGGCTGCCCTCGCCACAGTTTGCTATCCGCATGTGCCCACCATTGACCACGAAAAACATCAAGATGTATCAGCCCCTGCTTGCTGTTGGTGAGTGTGGGGCCTCTCCATCTAAAAGACACGTTCTCTCGCTGACTGTTAGAAAACCCTGTGTTCTCTTTGAGAGCGCATTAAAGGGAGAAAGGGCCTGCATGTTCCTGAGAACGCTCGTTTTGCGAGGTTTTGTGGCTTCTTTTTTTGTCCTTTTAATGCACTCATCTTTTAGTTTTAATCACGTGACAACTCACAACTCAGCCACCCGACAGCAGGCAAGAGCGACCTCGGTCCTATGGCTGTGTTTCTGGGTCTGTGCACTTTGTCCTTCTTGGGCCATCCAGGCTCTGTGTGTGTGTGTCATTTGTGTTGGAGTTTTGTTAACCAATGATGTCAATCATGTAATAACAGAACATTTTTTGGCTATGAGTTGTATATTAAACACTGCTTACAGGGACTGGGGTCTCTGTAAACTAGGTTTGCCTTTTGGATTAAAGTTGCATATTTTTAGATTGTCAGTAGAAGAATTGGTCTGAGTTCCAACTTGCTGCCACATTAATTTCATAGTAATATGAATCTAAATTTCTTTACAGCGGGAACCAACTTTTATTATTAAAAATATAAGGCTAAAATGTATTTCACTAGACTTGAAAAGTGCTGAAGGTTGAAGTTGTCAACCATTTTTCTTAAGATGCTGTCAGTTGGCTTCTAGCTTTTTTCCCTAGGCCTATAAACATTTCCATTTATTTTTCTCTCTAAAATGAAAATCTGGCGACATTTATGTTGTAGCTAATTGTCTCAGTTTAATGACTGACATCTAAGTATGCTAAGGATTCATTAAGTAACTACTGACAGTATTTTTATTTTCTCATTTTTCCTACTATCTTATGAAAGTGATTTGACTGTTAAAATAGTCTGTGCACATGTCTGTATTTTATAATACAAGTACAGGTAAGTGTTTAAATTTTGCTTTAGAAACCTCTGATTCATATCACACTTAGAGATTGGAATTAGAATTTTCCAGTGTACGATAGGTATGTTTATGTGCAATATCAGGGTGTTTAATTTGTCAATTTCTTAGAGAAAACTACATCTTGGGATAGCCGGATATTAAGAGCAAAGTCTGGGTCCAAGATATCCAGTGGAGAATAAGCTACCCTAGACAGGTGTATAATGAATATTCAGTCATTTACTGAATGGAGTGCAATAAAGCGAAGCGGAAAAATGTAAAATCATATGAGAATTATATTTGAATACGAGCTATGAAGTTTTGCAGCGTGACTAGGAAGGAGAAGCAGACTTTGACAGGGGACTTCTGTGTCCCTCTGGTACATTAGATTCAGCATCATCAAAGCTTGCAAAATGTAGAACAATTTCACTATTATAGAGATATGGTAATTGAAATGTTTAGTTTTGAGGACTGGTTGTAATAAGCATTCCAGATTTCAAAAAGCATAAACTCCCATGTAGAAGAAAGCTTGGGCAAGTGCTCCCTCCAGTTACGCGTGTTGCGGTGGGCCTTGAAGTCCTTCCGTGGATGTTTCCCCCTGGGTTGAGGTTGGATTTCAGAGCATGTGAGAGTGAGCCCACTTTTGATAAGCTGAAAGACCGGGCCTGTTTTTTACAATGTAGCGTTAGTCCCATTCTAAAAAACAAATGATGTAATATGATTAAAATTTTAAGAAAAGACTTTGTTGGCAAACTCTGGAACTCCATCGAGAGAGGGTGCTCGCGGCCGCTCACGCTCTCCCGTGGCGTCTGTTCTAGGCACCGGCAACGGCTCTGTCTTGGTGTACCACCTCACCAGTGGGCTGCTGCACAAGGAGCTCAGCGTCCACTCGTGCGAAGTCAGGTGAGTCTGCCCTGCGCCGCGAGCCCTGGCGGAGGCCTGCGGGCTTTCCAAAGCGGTAGCAGATGTTTACCTTGTGTTTATTGCTGCTTCTTACTTTCTTACCGATGTCCAGAATATTTTCTCACTGGAAATTCACTGTAGTCCCCTCTTTAGGTTTATGTAGTTTGAGTTCCTCTTCTGAAAGATCTGTATAGTCATAAAGATCTTCATGAGTCTCACTTATTTCTTTGTTTAAACACCATCAGAAAAGGACCAAAACCGTGTAGCATTTATTTTTTCACTTTGAAACCTGATCTGTTCACGAGTGCTGTCTTCCTAGAGAGATCTGAGATTCCGCTCCCCTTGCCCTCTCCAGAGCATTATTTTGCTGATGGCTCGGCTATTTCCCTTTCTTAGCCCAGCAGCAAGGGGTTGTACAGTTGTATGTACATTGTAATGTTGTATGTGCATCGTTAAAGTTGTATGTGTACTTTCTGATGTCCTTTTCTGTCCTCTAGAGGTTGTATAGGCCCCATGTGTGTGGTAAAGTTCTTAATGAACCCTCTGAATACATTATCACTAAGGGCATTTTCTGAGTGAGGAAGAGTTATTAGCTCTTAAAGACTCACAACTACTGGTTGTGATGGAAATTGTAAGCTTGTTCGTCTTTCCCGTGACTGCTTATCTGGACCTGGTGCTGTGTGCGCCTGTGTCTCCCTAAGGACGTTCACACCGCGTGGTAACGTCATCATAAACATAGACTGGGGTGCAGTGGCTCCGGTATCTGTTTAGACCCTTTCAGGCGGCTCATCTCTCCCTGCAGTCGTCCTTGCTGCCTCTGTTTCTCTCTGCATTCTCCTCACATTGTCTTAGCCTTACGCTGTTTCCGTCATGTCTGACACCAGCCAGTCAAAATTCCATGTACTCGGTATTTGCTCTCAGGGTTACATTAAAGAGTAAGAATTTGTGTTTTCATTTCCTTGAGTCTCTACTACAACTCTGTAATAGGCTTTCACTATCCCTAGTTTACAGGGCAAGAAACTGAGCATTTTAATCTGAGAAAAGGGTAGAGGGAATTCAGTTTGGGCCTTCCAGGTTTTAAAACTTGGCTTTTGTACTTGACAGTTTATGTGCTAGATCTTCAGCTCAAAAGTGCACATAGATCCGTAGGAGATAATTTGACAATAAATGTATTGATTGAACTAAGATTTATGCCAAGGATTTGACTCATTTCTGGAAATCAAGCATATAGAGCACTTAAATCTTTGCTAAAGACACAATCACTGGCTTACTGGTGAGCTTTTCCTTCACATCAGATTTATTATCCTGGAGTAGTTTTATCAATATACTACTGAGTCCATGGCATGGCCTGCATGCTGTGACAGTGTTGTGACCAAGGCACACTGAAATTACTCGAGATACCAAATAATGTAGGGACTTGGGGTTGCTACTCTGCCAGACTGGTACTGTGGATGATTACTTAAATGTGCTCCATTTTTTAATATAAATTTTCCCTCTTAATTGCCATTTTGAAGATAATTCACATTTTTATCCAGAGAAGGTGCTCAGGAGGTTGCTTTAATCATGCTGTCTTTGCATTTCAATTATAGCCATTACGGTATTACATTCAAAACCACTAGGAAAATTTCACAGATGTTATAAAAATTGCTGAATTTATTACCAAGTCCAAATACCCTGTCATTGACATGCAAATTAGTGACCAACTTTTGAAAGATGTTTTTCTACCTTGTACTAAATGTGCCTTTAAAACCACTTAATCTTCAGTACCAGAATCTTAGGCTTATGAGTGGGCAGGCCTGCCTAACTGCAGATAGCTGGCACTGTGTGTTTTAAACCACGATGTTTTGACCAAGATGCACTTTCTAAGCCAGTATTGCACACCCACTTTATGCCTGTAAACAGGCAGAACCTTTGAGGCTTATGTTCAGTGACAACTCTAGAAGTAAGCAAAGTGGGTGGTGAAGGTAGATTTTCTTAGATTATTTGTGTATGTCTTTGTCCAGAGTGCCAGATTTATACTTGGCAGTGTCAGAAATTAGTCTGACACTGTTTATGTGGGTAGTAGAACCTTTACTCACCATTGCTTTGAGTAGAATAAGTGGTTCGTGCAAAGTAGAATGCTTTCTATTTTGCCTGACTCTAAATTTGCCGAAGTTGATTTCATATAATTATAGAACCTCAGGGTTTTCCAGAAAGTGTGTCCTCCCTTCTCCCCCTGCTTACTAGAGTTGAGAAGCATCGCCTCTGAACCCCAACAGGCCGCGCTTAGGAACTGGTAGGACTCAGCACCTGAAACACCTGCCAGAGTTATAGCTGTTCAGTAGTTAGGAAGCCTGTGAAACAAACCTAGGCTAAGTCAGATTTGAGCTGCTCTCTGCAGGTGTTCTAGAACTCAGCTTAACTAGTGTAAACAGTGGTTTCCTGGGGGCAGTGTGGTGCTCAGCTGTTGGACAGGAGTTTTGCTTTTCATTTGAGAGATAATCCCCTCCTGCTCTAATCCATGCTGAAGTCCACCTGGGTTTTTATTTTCAATAGTTGATTATTCCTTAGGATGTATCCGATATATAAACTGCTGCTCAATCCGCTCAAAGGCAGAGTCCCATAGCACAGCCTGGAGACAAGCAGTCACCCATGTTCTGTGTTGCCCTAGCACTGGACCACTTGCCAGCAGTGGAGAGAGCATGTTTCTGGCTGTGCCTGGCACTGAGAGGCGGGAGAAGTGCTGGGTATTTTCGTACATGCGTGTCATGTAGAATTTACTCAGTGTCATCATGTGCCTGGAGAAACATGATATGGTTCCTCCTTCAGAGAGTACAGTCCTCTGTGGTATTTTGGCCACTGGCACTGTGGAAGTTGTTCAGACTTCCAGGCAAAACCCTACTTGCCCTTTGGGTTTCCTCTGCAATGGTTCTCCAGGAAGCCCAGCCTGGCCTCTGTGATGAAAGTCCATGTGACTTCACGAACTGCTGTTGAACTTGGCATTGCTTGCCGTTGTAAAAGGTGATACAGAATCACTTGTTTTGATATATCTTTTCTGCTGGATCGGGAAGTTCCAGAAGGACAGTTCACTGCTGTCCAGCGTGGTGACAGCATGTACTATGTACTTAACATGTATTTTTAAAAGAGCAGATGCAGAACGGCAGGACTGGAAGTCTCGGTGGCCAGGGAGGGTTGTGGCGCCTGACTGCTGGAAAGCGATGGTCTAGATGGTCATCAACAAGACCTGGATGGTGTGTCTTGGCTTCCTTTGGGCAAACAGATCTGATTGCAGCCACCAGCATGTACAGAGCAGAATAAGCCCAACGTGATTCTTCTCTCCTAAAGTTAATGAGTATTACTTACCTTTTAGGTGAAAGAGAAGAGACAAAGGGATTTTTTTCTGGTGAATAGTTGGCCAGATTATACTGTGTTCAGGATAGGTGTGGTTTCATTTTATAAGTGGAATGGCCTCATGAAGGAAACGGGACTTGAGTCAGCTTTTGAAGTGACAGTGAGAGTGGGTAAAGGTGATCATTGCTGATGCTGGGAACCACATGTCCTCTTGGGCAAAGGGGAAGTATTTAAGGCTCCTTCTAGCCAGAGCATTCGAACTGGGGTGGAATTAGGTAAGCTAGATCGGGGTCAACGACATTTTCTGTAAAGGACCAGGTGCAGACACTTCTGTCGCAGCTGCTCACCTGTGGGGAAGGTGTTTGTGAATAAGGGCCTGGACATGCTGGCGAGAGGCTGTGTGAGGGCAGCGGTTGACGCTCCCCTCCCAGCCGGCCTCTGCTGCCTTGTGGGCCTCTGTGACTGCTGAGGCCATTGTGTTTGTCTCCTCTTCCGTTCCCTGAAGCCATATCTTGAACATTCTCCAGTTCTATGGGTGAGGAAGTCGCGGCTCCCTGTGACCAGCCCTCCATGAAGGAGGCGCCAGGCTTGTGCTTGTTGTCGTGCCTGTTGGGGACTTTCGCCCTGTGTGCTTTTTCTCTAGTTAATAAACCATTGGGAACGTTCACCCACTTCCAAACCTAAGCTCTCAGGTCAGAATCTTTGCTGCAGGGGTTTTGCTTTCTAATCAGCTAGAAATTCTGAAACAGCCTGACAAGTGCTAAGCGCATCCGACTGCTCGCGTTCTGCTCAGGACCTTTCCACTGTGCTGTTCAGGTTGTGGAACTGGGAGACTCCAGCGGGTGGGCTCCCTCTGCGGACTCAGTGGCCAGTCGCCTGCCGCCCCCCTGTCTTATCCGTACAGTCGCAGGTGCAGCTTTCATTAGAAACCGTTTCGTTAATGTTCGAACTGTTTGGTAACGTGGTCTCAACGAGGAGGTCACATAACACTTCTTAATTAACTTGTATACTAAAATGAAAGCTTTAGGGAAACAGTTTTATTAAATAAAGTTTTCAAACAGAAAGGATGTTAGTCAACTTTTGTTTAATTTTTCATTATAGAGGTATTGAATGGACAAGCCTGACTGGTTTTCTTTCTTTCGCTACCTCAACACCGAACAACATGGGATTAGTGAGGAATGAACTTCAGCTGGTTGACCTTCCGACAGGTTTGTATATTTAGACTTCAGAAATCTAAAATGGCTTGTCATTGGTCAAAGGTGTTGCTGCTTACAGAACATTTTTTAACAGCAGACAGTTGTTTTATAAGAGTCAGTAAAACTTTAGAAGTTGGTATTTCTAAATGTCTAAAATGAACTGATTTAAAAGAAATGAGAAGAAATTCAAGAAACTTTTAAAATGTTATGTGATTGGTCTTTCATGTATATGACTTTTGAGAATACTTTTTAATACTTAGAACAGCTTAGAGACAAATGGAAGAAAAACAGCAAAGTAGAGGGTGGTGCCGGCCGTGTGGTTTACCTTCATGTTTCTCCTTGTTCATGTGCTGATTGCACTTTCTCTTTAATGTTTGCTGTTAAAGGTAGGAGTATTGCCTTTCGTGGAGAACGAGGCAATGATGAATCGCCCATCGAAGTGATCAAAGTATCTCACTTGAAGTAAGTGTCAACCTGAAAAAAAAATGGTTGAACCTCAAAAATTTTTTTAAGAGAGTTAGAATGTGTTAGAGTTCATATAGAATTTACTATGATAGGAAGTAGAACTATTAGTGACGCCCTGTTAAAGAAAATATTCTGATCACAAAATTTATTCTCCTTTTCTGAAAAGATGAGGTGACTTTTGTGTGAATCTAGACTATGGGTCTGCCAGGCTTAAAGGGTTGCTCAAGCCACCATCATGGCTATTGGGGCAGTTTGGTCCGTTCAGTACAGAGTCCATTTGGTTTAGTCAATCAATGGTCTAAACTTAAAAAATGCAAGCTACTGGCCCTGCAAAGGTTCCTCCCAGGTTAAACAGGAGCAGGATGCTAACTCCCTGGGACAATGAGATTACTTCCCAGGGCATGACCAGGAGCACCTGCGGAGTCTGATGTGCCACTTGGTGTCCTAGAGACTGACCAGCAGAAGGCCTTGCTAACAAGATCAGAACCACAGTGTGGGTTAGAAGCTCGATTTCAATCTTTGAACATAGAGCACAAAACTATGGACCCTCAGACTGATCTCCCCAAAAAGCCTAGATAAACTAAGCATACATTTGCTTCTTTCTTTTTGCTCTGTGTTCTCTTGCTCTGAGTAATCACCACTCAATAAAAGGCTAGGTTTTGCCTTCTCGGCAGCATCCTGCCATAACAGCTTGTTCCACAACTCCCATTTCTTTGATAGTGTGGTGTTGCCAGACACAGCATTAGGCATTTCATCAGATGCATGATCCGGAGCCACTGTAAGCTGGAGATGCGAATGCGCATTGTCACTAAGGAAATGTTACTTGTTGTCTGGTGAAATTTCACCTCAGCATGGAGATGCAGGGTATTGGGTAAAAGTGCTCATTTTCTTTATTACTTAAGCCCATTGAGTTTTTAGTTTTGTTGCAAATGAAAATAAATACACGTAAAGCAGAATTATTAAAAATAGAAAGCTGAATGATCATCAACCGAAAGAACAAAGGAAAGTACTTCTCACATAGTTTTCAAAGTTGCTTTACCTTTTCTGTGATCTTTGTGATCGTTTTAGAAGCATCTCATCCATTTTACCAAAAAGGCTTTCTGGGGTTTTGATTGGATGCCGCTTCTACATCCGTGTGGGGGCGGGTGACATCATAGCCAAGTTTGTGATTCCTGAAGATGGTATATCTTAGATCTTCTTTGCACTTACTTAGATCTTTAATATCTTTCAGTAATACTTAATAGTTTTTATAGACTCTTATACATCATTTGTTATTCTTTCCCCCTTTGATGCTTTTGTAAGTGGTTTGCTTTTAGTTTCGGTTGCTAATTATTTATTACCTATTGGAATAGTTAATTTTTTGTAATTGTCTGTTTAAAATGTGTTTTCTGAATTTTCAGTTTACTGAGCTCTTTATATTTCTTTATGATAAAATCTTGCAAGTGGGATCTTGTATAGTGGTTTTGTTTATTTTAGGCAGTATTTGGCAGTTGTATTCAAAGATAAACCCCTGGAGTTATGGGATATTCGGACTTGTACTATTCTTCGAGAAATGTCGAAAAACTTCCCTGCAATAACTGCTTTGGTAAGTCACAGTTTAAGAACTGAACAGTTGATTAGGTATGTGCATATAAGGTGAACACTTTTTTTTTTTTTTAAAGTTTATTTTTACATCAATTTTCACATTTTTTTTTCATCTCAATTGTAATCCCCACGGGTTTCCCATCACCAAATCACCCCTGTGCCACCATAAGGTGAACACTTTAATTTGAATTGAAATCATTACTGCCATGTATTTTCTTGTTAAAAAATGAATATTCAGAGAAGATGATCTAAATAAATGAAGATACTGTTTTTCTTGGCTGGTTTAATTTTACATTAGTGTAATTCTAGTTAGAATTTCAGCTAGATATTTTGAGGGACATGATAAACATACTCTATAAACATTGATGAAAGAATAAAGATCACAGTAGGCCCTCCCTGGCAGCACAGCAGGTTAAAGCACAGCACTCAGAAGCTAAAGCCACTTCAGCACGAGTTGGAGGTGACCCACAAGGCGCAGCAGACCTCTTCTGACTCGCCTGCTGCTCCCCTCAGCAGTGGACTTCCTCAGTCGGCCTGTTCTGCTCCCCACTCTGTCTCTGGTGAAGCCTCTCACCGTCCCTGCACCTCTGGCCTGCACCCCAGTTCTGGATGCATAAACAAATCTTAAAAAAAAAAAAAACAATAGATCACTAAAGATCACCCATTGAAAACACGGGAGTATGTGTGCGGTGGGACCAATCCCACCTGATACACGTTACAGACAGTAGAAACGAAAGCAGTGTTGAATTGGTCCAGGAATTGAAAGTGACCAACACAGCGAGGAGCTCATTAGTCGGCCTGTGAATAGTTGGAAACTCAGTAGCACAGACTCAGTGTGCTTAATATTGGGAGAATCTCAAATCTCAGCCTAATGCCATACTTAGAGGTGTGTGCCACAGGCTTAAACACCTAACTCTGAAAGAGGAAATTAAAATTTAATGTAATCAAATATAGGATATTTTTGTGTTCTGAAGACAGCAGAGGACATCACATGCGCAAACTGAAAGGCAGACGAATCAGTGAATTTGCTTCATTAAGACTGATGCTTACTGTTCAATGAAGGACCCCAATGGCAAAGTTAAATACAGAAGCCAAGTTCAAAAAATAAATATTCCGGTGTTTAGAGCCAACAAGTGACTAACTAATTCAGATTGGTATTACTGGAACTCCTGCAGATACATGAGCAATGAAAAGCCAGGAACCCCAACAGAGAGAAAAAGCTATATGAGCAGGTGATGAAAGCCAGTGAGGACAGGAAGAAACACTCATTAGTGCTCATTCGTTTTTAAAAACTATTCCCAGTAAAATAACCATGATAAACCTTTTAGACTAGCAAAACTGGAAAGCCAGATAACATGAGAGAGGGGTATAATGCGGGCTGCAGAAACCCTGTCCGCTGCTGGCGGAGCTGAAGGCTGGGAAGGCCGACTCTGCGCAGGCTGCGGCACCGGCACGCAGGTCTGCTGCGCTCCCTCCGTTCAGCTCCTGGTCACGAAGGAACTTCTGTGACGGTGTCAGCAGCAGCGCTGTCTGTCATGGTGAGACTTGAGGCAGTCTGGTTGTCCTTTGCAGAAATTCGGTGACTACATGGTGAACTGTTACACAGTATGTAGGAACAGTAGCAACGGGGTGATGGGATATTTACGTAAATTACAAATATGTGCCTTCAGGACAACATGTTAGGAATTTGTACTTACGAGAGGATTAGCTAAATGCACTAGAGTAGGTGGGGATGTAAAAGGATTAATAAATAAACCAAGGTTTGGGGTTGACATTTGGATATTAATGGAATGGATTGGAAGAACATGATTACCTGAGTGCTGGAGGGCAGCCGATACCGTCATTGAATTTATTGTTTTCATTTTGTCAGCCTCAGAAGGTTAGACATTTTGGAAGTTTGCCATTAAACTTTTTTAAAAAGATGTATTTATGCATACAGAACTGGGGTACAGACCAGAGGTGAGGGGTCGGGGGGAGACAGTGAGAAGATTCACCAGAGACAGAGGGGAGCAGAACAGACAGATGGACTGAAACACACTGCTGAGGGGAGCAGCGGGGAGGGCACTTCCCTGGCCGGGGATCGAACTCGTGCTATAGTGGCTGCAGCGGCTTCACAGTTCTGCGCTTTAAGCTGTTGCGCATTAAACTCTTCTGCCTTAAATTCTAATTAAAGATTAGAGGAGGAGGTAGAGGTAGGTTATTAAAATCTTCCAGCTTAAGCTCGAATTAAAATGCATTCATTTGGCCTTTCTGCAAGTAGATGAAAAGGGAGAACACACTGACTCCGTGGGCAGTGATTTGTGGTGTGGCAGTGGTGAGTCTGCCTCTGTTCCGGAAGGATTCCTGGACAGAAGAAACCAGGTGCTGTATTTGCTTCGCAGGAGTGGTCACCATCTCACAACCTGAAGAGCCTGAGGAAGAAGCAGCTGGCCACGCGAGAGGCCATGGCACGCCAGACCGTGGTCTCAGACACCGAGCTGAGCGTGGTGGAGTCCTCTGTGATCAGGTGCAGCGCGCTTCTCCCTGCCGCTGTCGTGAGACTGCCGTGGTGGGAACTTGCCAGTGTCACCAGCTCTAGTCTCGGCTTCACGCTCCAGTTCAGAGCGACATTCCCCGAGCACAGCCGCGAGTCCCCGCGCTCATTTCATCACGTGTCGCTTCTCGGCTTGGTCCCGCGGTGGTGCAGCCACGTGTCTGCACCGGGCTCCCTCTTACTGTCTTGTTCACTGCGCTTCTGCTCCTGGTGCTGAGCGAGAGGTGTTAGAAATGGGGTGATAGGATATTTATGTAAATTACAAATACATGCCTTCAGGACATGTCGTGTTAGGAGTTTGTACATATTTTTGACTGGTTCTGGACTTACTGCTAATGCATCTGTATGCGTGGCAAATTAATCAAGTATGGGTGTCACTCACAGGGAGGGAAATAACTTTGTGATTTCTTTGCCCTATCCCAAAGCTTGTTGCAGGAGGCAGAAAGTAAATCTGAGCTCAGTCAGAACATCTCTGCACGGGAGCATTTTGTGTTCACCGATAACGACGGCCAAGTGTACCACCTCACTGTGGAGGGCAACTCCGTGAAGGACAGCGCGCGCATCCCCCCTGACGTGAGTGCAGCCCGGACCGGCCTTCTCTCAGCCACCTTAGTAGAGTTTGTTGGTCCCACAGCCAGTGAAGCGTGGTTAAGTGGAATGCTGTGGCAGAAAATTGTGATGTAATTAAACATTGCCACTTGCAGAAATGCCATGATTAGACTTGTTCCCTGCGGTTGGAGTGCAGCACTGTGAGCTTTCCACTGAGCTGCACCGCGTGCTACGCATTCTGACCCCGTAGTGTCCACGAGGAGTGCCTTCTGTTTCACTTAGGACAAAGTGGGGGGAGGCAGCAGCTGTCCCAGGGTGGCAGTGCCCACATGTCGCAAATCAGGTCTGCCTGTCTTGACTCGTGTCTCCTCTGCTGTTCCAGGCAGGACTGCAGGATTTGACTACCCTTCGCACTACTCTGGGTAGTAGCAAACAGGCTGTCAGTGTGACTGTGACTGTGACTAGTCCTTACTGCCCTTCTTCCTCCTGCTGCCTGTGGAGTCCTCTAAGGCTTTCTAGCTAGTGATTGTGTCTGTGTACGTCACAGGTTGTACTTAATGATGGGTTAAGAAAATGATTTTGTTCACTAATACTTTAAACGGTTAAGTGGAGGCATGAGATGATGACATCTATTTCAGTTGCCATATACACCGGACTGTTTTCATCCAGTGTCAGCCCTGTGCAGGGGCTCTCGGCTCTCATGAGCTGCACCAGGGCGCTGGCTGAGCCAGCAGGTCCACTTCAGGCTCTACTACGATGCTGCAGGTTAGCGCTGGCTCTGTGGTGAGAGCTGTTCCTCACATACGCTTCTCCGAGAGCCTGCCCGAGCGTCTTCACGACACAGCAGCTGGCTCCCGAGAGCGAGGGACCCCACAGGTGGCTGAGTGAGCCGCAGCCATGCCAGAGGCAGGAGCGTGTGGGCCTCTTGAGCTCGTACCCGCATCTTCCACATGAACAGCAACAGGAGAACTGAGGGCGTCCAGACCGCCTTGGCTCCTGCGAACAGAAACGGTCACACCAGATACTCAGTAGTGTGAGGATGAAATTAATAATGCAAATGTGAAAGTTTGATACTTTGTGGAAAAGTAACCTAGCTTATGTGTGTGGAAAGAAGAGTGCAGACACAGGATTTCAGCCATCTGGGTGTTCTATGGGAGATCACCGTTTGCTTTCCTAGTGACACACACAGCTCCTCACTTGGACCCCAGGGAGACCCCACCGCAACGCTCGAGAGCCTCTGGCCAAAAGCTCAGGCTGCACCTTCTGATCTCATCACATTCCAGAGTTTTTCCTTCTTATCAGTGCTGTTTTCTGGGTGATAATTGTGTCATGCAGCTTTTAGGGCCCCGCCTCTTTTCATGGTGGCCTGAAGTCGGGGGTGTTCTGCCTGGCGGATCCTTGCTCCACAGCCAGACGCAGTCTCCCCTAGGGCAGGCCAGCTGGATACAGATGAGCTCCAGTGGAATGAATTTTTTTTAGGGAAGGCAGTGTCTCCCAAATCCCACTATATAATACACAAAGACAAGGCTTTGGCTGTTTTTTCCATTGTCTAATTGAAGTATTTCCCATGATGACAGTGTAGACTTCAGGCAAAGGTTTCTTCTAATGCATTATTTACCTGACTCTCCTCCTGAATGCAAAGTATTATGTGCCATTTCGAAATGAAACTTTCCCTGGATGTTGGCCCCCAAGCTACAGGGTATATAAAGACGGTAAGAAGAGAGGAAGCTCGGCACGGCGAGACTGTGTCTGCTGGAGAGTGCGATGCCTCTGTGGGGACACGGGGGCCGAGAGAGCCCCAGGAGCCCGCTGCCGCGTCTGACCACTGGCCCTTGAGGCCTCGTGGCCTTATCTTTCAGGTGCGGCACAGCGTCAGTGCCCGGCGGCACAGCGTCAGTGCCCGGCAGTGATGGTGGCTCTCTGGCGTTAGTCAGGGCCGAGTCTCGGAGAGCACCGTGCGTGATCTGTATGCCCCGTCCCGCCGCCAGCCCCTGGCAGGAGAGGCCTGGCTCAGTCATGGGCTGTATTTATCCACCACTTGAATTCTAAGCTGGTGATGCTGGACTAATTTAAATGTCAGTATTTTGATTTTTGAAGCCAGAAAGCAACTTTTCAAGATTAAAAATTAAATGTCAAGGGAAATTCTCAATTAAGCCTCCTCTTACTACGGTTAGGAGGCAGAAATTTGATCTATGTCATATACAGCTCGCTGTTTACTTACCCTAACTGAATTCACTGAAACATTGGTTTTTTTTTTTTTTTTTTTTAAAGATTTATTTATTCATTTACACAGATCTGGGGTACAGGCCAGAGGCTCAGGGGCGGCGAGAGGCTTCACCAGAGACAGAGTGGGGAGCAGAACAGGCAGATCGATGAAGTCCACTGCTGAGGGGAGCAGCAGGCGGGTCAGGAGAGGTCTGCCACGCCATGTGGATCTCCTCCGGGGCAGGCGGGGATCGAACTCATGCGGAAGTGGCTTCAGCTTCTTAGTGCAGTGCTTTAACCCGCTGCGCCACCAGGGAGGGCCCGAAACATTGGTTTTTAATCCAGTTTTTCTTTGGTTTCTTGGCTGCCATTAGGACTTCTGAATTATTTGGGGTGTGGCCAGCCTATTAATAGTCAGGAGATACTTGGCGTTTCCCTCCTCCTCAGTAGCTAAATGTGAGAATTTTTTTTTTATTTGTACATACAGAGCTGGGGTACAGGCCAGAGGCTCAGGGGCGGCGAGAGGCTTCACCAGAGACAGAGTGGGGAGCAGAACAGGCAGATCGATGAAGTCCACTGCTGAGGGGAGCAGCAGGCGGGTCAGGAGAGGTCTGCCGCGCCATGTGGTCACCTCCGGGGCAGGCGGGGATCGAACTCATGCGGAAGCGGCTTTAGCTTCTCAGTGCAGTGCTTTAACCCGCTGCGCCACCAGGGAGGGCCGAATGTGAGAATTTTTATATTGTTCCACCACAACATGAACGGGATTTGTCTTAAGGAACAGAGACAACAAATTTTGTGATGGAGCTGGGATGGGGCCCAGGCAGTGCCCTGCAGGCCCCGCCCCTCAGCCCACCCAGGCCACTCTGGGCCCCTGCCTGCAGGGGCTATTGTAGTGGTGGGCTTTGCCGAGCCTTCTTGAAGCCACACGCATTCAGATGCCTGTGGATAGAAATACTGTCTCCTCACCTTCGTTATTTCAGAAGGGATCTCTTTTTCAGTAGAAAGATGACTGCAGAACTGTGAAACAGTTTCTCTTGAAACAGATCTTTATCCTCTTGCAGTGAGAAAGAAGTTGAAGATAAGCTCTCCGGGAAGGGTTTCCTTCTCTTGTTACCTTTTAACTTGTTTTATCTGGGGTATTGCTCCCACAGGACATTCCTTCTCTGTAAATCTAATTCAGATGCGTGAATGTTTATCAAATTGAAATCTTTTTTATTTCATGGCTGAAGCTGATAGGCCTGGTAATACTGTTAGTGTCTTGTTAGTGTTTGGGGGAATTTATACTGAAGCAAAAGCATTTATGATTTATTTACCATGCATTAAAGCCTCTTATTTCATCACAGTTACCAAGTACAAGTATGCTTCTGTGAGAGCCTTGCTGTCTGCTGTTTTCTAGGGCAGCATGGGCAGCATCACCTGCATCGCGTGGAAGGGCGACACACTCGTCCTTGGGGACGTGGATGGAAACTTAAATTTTTGGGATTTGAAAGGCAGAGTGTCCAGGTATGAACTAAGAATACAGCCTTGCTAGTTGGGTGAAAAAAACAGTCGGCTCTTGATCTGGCTCCCTAGAGCCTGCAGACTCGGTGAGCACACCAGTTACGGCTTGGACCAGGGTCTCTCGCCAGTGAATTTGGGAGAAAGGAGCAGAGCCAGGCTCGGGGTCCTTCATAATCCTCTGCAGTCGGTCCGTGCAGACAAGTGCTAAGACGTGATTCCAGCTGTTGTCAAGGGCCGGCCCTTCCGCTAGATGTAGCCCGTCCCAGAGGGTAAGGCGTTACCCATCATCAGGAAAAAGAGAAAAGAGAAAGTGGTTGCACAGACCTGGCGTGGGATGAGACCGTACCCCATATGGACGCTTAGGCTTAGTTTCTCCATTTGTCCTCAGAGGGATACCGACTCATCGGAGTTGGGTGCGGAAGATTCGTTTTGCCCCAGGAAAAGGAAACCAGAAGTTAATAGCAATGTACAGTGATGGCGCTGAAGTGTGGGACTCTAAAGAGGTAGGCGGGCCCGGCTCCACGCGCCTCAGCTGCCCCTTCTCTTTTGGGGGTGGAGAACTGCCTCATCCTTCCCGAAGGAATTTTCTTTAATCTTGTAGTTTCGCACTGTTTCTGTTTGACGGTGATAGCTCAGTAGGGTTTTGCCCCTTCCTGTGGTTTGCGGAATACTCTGCCTCTAAAAGGCGGCTGCGGGGCGAGCACACCGGAGGCTGAGGTGCTAGGTGCGACGCGCCTCTGCCACATGCAGCGCCTTTCCTTGCCCGTTTGGTCAGAATGATGAAGCCCTTCCTTCTCCTTCTGAGAGTGATAACCAGATTCTCTCTTGCAGGTTCAGATGGTGAGCAGTTTAAGAAGTGGGAGAAACGTGACCTTCCGCATCCTGGACGTGGACTGGTGCACGTCAGATAAGGTGATCCTGGCCGCAGACGACGGGTGTGTCCGGGTCCTCGATATGTCCATGAAGTCTGCGTGCTTCAGGATGGATGAGCAGGAGCTGCCCGGTAGGGTTCCGACGAAGGGCGCGCTGAACCTGGCTCTATTTTGCACCAGCTCCTCTCATCTGGGCAAGAGCCGCTTTTCTTCCATGCCAGTCTCGCTCTCTGAGCATCTGAGTCTAAGGAAACAAATTAAAGCTTGAGCGTGTGACTGAGATGCTAGACCCGTAACTGCACTTGCCAGCTGCCCTTCTGTGACCCTTTCCTGAGTGCTCTGTCAAGGGCTGACCATACTTGCGTTCACGACAGAGCCGCTGACCGGAGGGTGACCCCTGGCCATGAGCTCAGCAGCTACGTTAACTCAGTGGCCTTGGGGGCCAGTGGCAGGACACAGGCGGCAGGATGCTTCGTGTTCTTAAACAATGAGCTTAAGACAGTGAATCACTGTGAAGAATGTAAACAGCATTTTTATAGCCCACAGGAGAACTAAATTTTTCAAAGGGAAAGAAAACTGAATCAGATTTTATTTGACGAAAATGAAACAACTTTACAGAGTAGGATAGTTTTGTATGTGCATTGGTTGGTTAAAAGAAATTTGGTCCGTTCGTTCCTTCATTCAGTGCATGTTTACTGTTCCTGCCGCGTGTCCTACCGTGTGACTGGCGGTCACACAACGTGACCTTAGCGGATGAGAAGATGTGAACATAGACTATGTCCTCACTCAGTCCGCATGTGTGACTACAGCGAAAGTTCTCTCAGTTACCCCAGGTGTATGCATTGTTCTCTGCTGACTTCTTTGTAAACTGTCTTAAAGTTTCAAAATAGTGTGCAGTTTATTTCACTAAAACAAAACACTTTTGTCTAGAGCCCGTGTGGTGCCCATATCTCCTTGTCCCTCGGGCCTCCCTCGCCTTGAAAGCTTTCTTGCTACACCAGCCCTGGGACGGCCAGTACTCCTTGGACATCTCTCACGTGTAAGTTCTTTCTGTTTTCTTTTCTTCATTTTCTTGAGAAATGAAGGACACTCATGAAGATCACTGCTGGCCAGAATTCCTGGGCTTAACAGAGCTGGAATTTAAAAGCAGACCGAGGCAGAGATGGACAGAGAATCCAACAGAACGCCCGTGGCCCTGTCCTCTCTGCTCTGTGGCCTTTTTGGAAGTCGAAGCGTGGGCTGTGGGCTCCTGGCTCCTGCCTTTTGGGTGGCCGTGTGATCATTTTACAGCTGACATGGGGCACAGCAGAGTGAGTGTGAAGCGGGTCAGTGAAAGCAGGAAAATTTGGGGTCTAGGTTAGTTCTTGTTAAAAGCAGAATGAATAGACCTAGTTCAGGTGTATTTTAGAGTTTTTGAATCTCAACCGTTACGTCATTGTTAAAAGTTCACAGAAGCTGGTTTGTAGTTAGTAAGCTCACAGGTGTCGCTGCAGCTGTGGTAAAGCTGGTGGGGGCAGCGCCTGCGGGAGACTGTTAGGCAAGAATGCTGTGTGTAGAGGCGGCGGCACCACGCACAGAAGAACGAGCAGACGCCTTTCTTGTCCAAGTGCCGTTTATGTGAATCTAAGGTGGGTCGTTTTTGGCGTCCACTGATAATTTTTCTGGTTTTTGAACACCAGTGTTTTCTTCACTCATGTCTTTTCTTTGACTGAATAAGATAAAAATCAAGTATTAAAGATAATTGGCAGCTTCCTGAGTAGAATGTTGCTTTTTGGCTGACCAAAAAGCTTATTTCTCTACTAACATAGCTTTTTATCTGGTAAAGAAATATAAGTGAAAAGATGAACTCATTCAAAATCTTTTCTGTACAGTGATTACCCAGAAAATGAAGAAATAAAGAATCTCCTTCAAGAGCAGTTGAATTCACTGTCCAAGTAAGCACTCTAAAACGCTTCATTGGAAGATAGGCATATAAGAAAGAAAAATAGATTAACTCAGGCTTTTTAAAATTAAGGTAAGTTGTATTTTACAAACTTAGTGGCTCAAGAAGACCATTCTGTTTGCCAAGGTTTGCTTTCCTTTATCATCTTTGTTTCATAGAGGAAGCAGCTGCTAGAGGTTACGGGGACAGGGCCTTATCTCCAGCAGCTTCCTCAGTGTCAGGTCGCGCTGGCCTCCTGTCCGGCAGTAGTGGAGGCTATTAAGAGGTCTTTGCCTGCACCCCCAGACCCCTGCAAAGCCTCATGATGAGGATTCTGCCATGTTGGCTTCCTGCCTCTAAAAATCTCAGAGGCAGTATATGTACAGTTTTGGCTAAGAAATTAGCATACTCCCTAGAACCTAATGCATTTAAAAGTGTATACTGGGAATATAATACTGCAAAGGAAGTAAAAAATATATCTAGCTAGGTAGGCCCATAAGGAGTTCTTGGTAAAGTATGTAACTCTTTTTGCAGTCTAGAATCTGTCACATCTAATTATAATTAATAAATGAACCATAATAGGAGATTTTACTGATGTCACATTCAAAATGTTTTCTCAGTCGCAGGTTAACATTTGTGTTTAAGCAGAAAAGAACAGATTTAAACACTACCTTCCCTTTCCCTTTATGTAAGGCTATTTTGTGTGTGTTTTAAAAATAGAATTTATTAAAACACATCTTTCTTCCTTAAATTTTTATTTTTGAGATAATTTTATAGATAATGCATATTGTCTACCACATACACTGTTGCTGAGAATTAGCAAAACTGTTCTATCAGCAGTGATGTGCTTATTCCTATAGCAGGCAGCTGTTCAGGTATTTAAAAGCCGCGTCATCCCTTTGCGAGACTGAGCCGTCTCATGGGCCCTGCCCGCGGCTCGGCACAGCTCTTGTGTCCTCAGGGTCGGGGCAAAGAGATTTGTTCAGCCTTTGAGTGGAATTTTTCATTTCAAGAATATATTGATTGATCCCCTAGTTGTATTACTTGTTTAAAAGAATTACTTTACCTTTGTCCGAATTCCTGTCTGTAGTGATGTAAGGAAACTGTTGCTCGATCCAGAATTCACACTGTTGCAGAGATGCCTGCTTGTTTCAAGGTAAGACCGTTTGACGCGTTCTGTGTGAGAGACAGACTTTTAACTCATTTTCTTACAAGGATGTTTTGTTAGGACCAAATGCTTTTAAATTTAAGAAAATAACAGTTCATCCTTTACATTTGACTTAGTTTTGAAAGTAGTAATACAAATAGGAAAAAGGGTTCTAGCCCGCAGCATCTGCCTGCTCTGTGGAAGTCTCCACATTTTGGAGTGCGAGCTGCGGGGCTCGGCCTGGAATGTGGCAGGGCTGTATTCATAAGCAGTGACGTGTTTCCGTCCCCTACAGTAGTCACATATTAAAACAAAACTTCTGCCCACTCCCCTAGAATAAACTAGTTCCCCTTATATTGCTTCCTCAGTGGGCAGTGGCTCAAGTAGGCAGGGTGGCGGGCTGAGGGGTGTGGGCGGCCTGCAGTCGGGCGGGGGAGGGGCTGGAGAACCTGCTGCGTCTCCGCTTTCACCCAGGTGGGTGACAGTGCGGCAGGGTGCTCCCAGCACCGGTCACCACGTGGGGAGCCCCTGAGCGCCCCCCAGACCCCTGCCGGGCGAGCTCAGCGGGCACTGCTGTTCTGCTGTTCCCCGCAGACTCTACGGCGATGAGTCCGAGCTCCACTTCTGGACGGTCGCAGCCCACTACCTGCACAGCCTGGCCCCAGAGAGGCCGGCCGGCGCGGCGGCCGCTGCAGGGGCCCCTCCGGACGGGGCGAACGCCGGCCTGGACATGTGCTACGATATACTCTGCGGCAACGCCCACTTCCAGGTGCTCTGGGCGCTTTGGGCCCCGAGGGGTCTTCGCTTCGGGAACGCTCTGGGTTGCGGTTCGCAGAATATAAATTCACACGGAAAGCTTACTGCGGACCTGGAAATCTTATAAAAAGGCCAACTTGGGAATTATTTAACTTATACAACTTTTTAAAAGCCTTTTAAAATGTTTTTGTCTTAAAATTGACAGGATTTTAATTCTCTCACTCTATTACTTTAACAAATATTTCTTTCACTGGCTTTGAAGTCGCTATTCTACAGAAGAGAAGGAGGTTTCGTGGTTTCCTAGCATCTACTTCAATAGGGAAGCCGGTTTTTATCCAGCTTTATTCAAGTGCACTTGCTCGCAAGCTGTATAACACATTTCACCATTTTCTCTTCTAATTCCTGTGACTTTGTTGATTTCAGTGAAGTTGATTATCCTAATAACTCAGAAGTTAAATGTTCACTGAAATGACTTTATTAGAGTAAAATTTAAATAGTTCATCAGTCTTATAATCAAGCTTGTTTTCCTTTTTTTCTTTCTAGAAATTTCAGTTGGAAAGGGTTAATCTACAGGAAGTAAAAAGGTCAACTTACGATCACACAAGGAAATGTACAGACCAGCTGCTGCTTTTGGGTCAAGTAAGTCGATTTCTGCAGCTTTTCATGTTGCCTGGAGTGGCCAGTTGATGAGGGTGTCAGGGCATCTGTGTGTGGCACACTACCAGTGTACACACTTTATAGTGCTTCCCTCAGAGTGAGGTAAAGGTCAATCTACACTTTGTCTTGAAGTAAGAGATACTTTCACTCTTCCAGAAAGCTGCATCTAGTAAACAGTCTTCTGATTTGGGCTTCCATGTGTCAAGCGGGACCTGTTTGTGTGACTGTTTCTAAAGTGAGAGCGGACAGCTGCAATAAGCACAGCCTCCAGTGTGCCTCTGAACCAGGGTGCAGTTCGAGCTCTCGGGGCAGTGCCACACTGGGACCCTCTTTCTCTCCCAGACAGACAGGGCCGTGCAGCTGCTGCTGGAGACAAGTGCAGACAACCAGCATTATTACTGCGATTCCCTGAAAGCCTGCTTGGTCACGACAGTCACCTCGTCAGGCCCCTCCCAGAGCACCATTAAGCTGGTGGCAACCAACATGATCGCCAGCGGCAAGCTGGCAGGTAAGGCACGCTTTGGGGCGCGCCAGCCGGTGTTCCAGAAACGGCCCGACCCCATGAAGCGGTTGGCTCTTGGGCGCCCTCTTTTTGTTTTATTGGTGCTGGAGAAAAGCAGGTCATTACTCGCTGTTTACAAGGTGGCCGGGTAACTGCCCGCTAAGCCAGCTTTCTGACAGCCACTGTTAGCAACTGCCAGGACGAGAGGCTCACGCGGGCAAGCTGAGTGACACAGGCCAGCAAGGGTGTGCTCCTGGCCGCCGCCCGGGCTGCCGCCCTGCTCCCTGAGCGGTATTGTTGGAAAACCCATTTTAGTGTTTTTAGCTTCCAGTGGTTAGAGGCTGCGCAACACCAGGGACGTCGGGTGGCCAGCTTCCTTTAGAGCCGTGTCGCTCAGGGCTGCTCTGCTGTCTTCCAGAGGGCGTGCAGCTGCTCTGCCTCATAGACAAAGCCGCGGACGCCTGCCGCTACCTGCAGACGTACGGCGAGTGGAACCGGGCGGCGTGGCTGGCCAAAGTAGGTGATTCTCGGGGTTCAGTCCTGAAGTTCTGGCTCAGGTTTAGGTGCTTTTTTACTGGTTGCAAAGCTGCTGTGCAAATAATTTCTTGCAGCTTTAAGAATCTAAAGTATATTTCCTGTTGAAAAATGGCGTTTGCATCAGTAGCAATTCTGTGAAGCAGCTGTCTCCCCCTGCGGGGGTGAGCTGAGGGCTGCTAGTTGCGGCAAGTCAGGCGGCAGGGAAGGTGCTAAATGTTGGGCCCTCACCTGGCATTTGCTTAGGAAGAACAGGTTCCGGTTCGGTTGAGTAGGGTCTTTGTTTACTAAGCACGGGCATTGTTCCCAGGTCCGTTTAAACTCCGAGGAGTGTGCTGACGTTTTGAAGCGGTGGGTTGACCACCTTTGCTCTCCACAAGTCAACCAGAAGTCAAAGGCCCTCCTGGTCCTCCTCTCCCTGGGCTGCTTCTCCAGCGTGGCCGAGATGCTTCACAGGTACGCCAGCAGCGGGCCTCACTGCCGAGGTTGGGCGCTTTACCTGAGGTCATTGGGTGGTGGCTGCCTTCATGCCTGCAGTCAGAGCAGCAGATGGGATTGCAGGTTTATTTCAAAAGCTAAAGCACATGGGCAGTTCATGTCCTGATAGGGACCAGCTCAGGCAGGACAGTTGAGAATAACAAAGGCCAGGGAGTGGCCGGAAGAGATGGAGACCGTGGCATTGTCCCCTCTGGACATCTTGAGGCACCACAGCTGTCAACATTATGGAACTTTTAAATACACCAAAAGTGAGGGGCAGGTTGAATCAAGCGTGACTATAGGCCCCTAGTCAAACCTGGCAATGGGATTGACAAAGACTACTTCACAGGGGAGGGGATGTGGGTGACCGCTCTCCTCTGTAACCAGGGCTTGGGAAGGTGCTCTGTGGCTTCAGCAGTGCTGACTTCCAGGGAGAAGCACAGCCTGGAGGTGCCTCACTCATTTTGTTCTCTCGAGCAGCATGAGGTACTTCGATCGAGCCGCCCTGTTTGTGGAAGCTTGTCTCAAGTACGGCGCAATCGAAGCCAGCGAGGACATGGATATCCTTTGTGGGGTGTTTACACTGGGGGGAAGCAAGTGACAGGAGTGGTGGGTGTTTTAGGGTTCCTCTTAGTTGTGCCTCAGCAGGAACTATATTCTAAAGCCAGGAGAGGGGGAGAAACAGAAGGGCAAGAGTCAGAAGGCAGGCTATGGCACCAGCTCCCCAAAATGGCTGGGCTGTCGGGGAGGGGGCCTGTATCCGTAATGTTTCACTTGGTCTAGAGGCTCGGGCCATAGGGAAAGAATGTAGAAAGGTGTCGAAGCCTGCTATGTCAACGCGGCATTCAGAGCTGCATTTCTGTGGAATTTATGCATATTCATCAGTTGAGTTTGTGCTGTGATAATGTAAAAAAGGAAGACTCACTGTCATCCATGGCGACAGTCAGCTGTAGACCAAGACAGGTGACTTCAGACGATGTTTCCCGTGTCGTGCGCCCAGACTGGAGATTCTGTTCCTTCTGGGGTCACCTGACCGTGTTTTCTTGGAGGAGAATGGACTTGAGAACCAGCTCTCAGCTCCTGTGTTAGCAGAACTCCCCTTGTTCTCACACTTTTTCTTGTATCATTACATTCTGAACTCATTCCTGCAGGTCACATATTAATTTTCTGTAAAAGATGTTCAGAATCCTTTATCTAGTCACCAGTAGACTTGACTCCAGTTCTGTGGAGCCATTTTGAGCTGCAGCTGCCCCAGACCACAGCTTCCCAGTGGCACATGTGTCTGCCACTGGCAGAGGCCTTGGTTGTGCTTCTAAACGTGGAGAACCAGGGAGGTTTGCTAAATCTTCTAGAAGGAGGCACTTTGGGCCCAGCTGGTGGGAAGTGTAGGGGGGCTGAAAACTGAGACCCCCCCTGCCGGAGGGTGTCCGCACCACCCCTTTGCCCGTCTTTCCCTTAACTGGGGTTTACAGAAACTCATCTCGGCTATATATGCAGATTATGCCCGGAGCTTGAGGAACCTCGGGTTTAAACAGGGCGCTGTTCTTTTTGCTTCAAAAGCTGGAGCAGCTGGCAGAGACTTACTGAATGAACTGGAATCCCCCAAGCCAGAGGAGGAGTGACGCGGCACGTGCGCCAGGGCCTCAGCTCGCCAGCAGGAGCCCTGCAGGTGGTCTGGCCGGCGAAGACCGCAGTCCTGACTGCCTCAGGGGCCTCGTGGTGAGCAGCCTCCCCGGGGGCACAAGCATCGGCGATGCGGAGAGCGAGCTCTGGGTCCTGTGTGTAGTACAGAGAAAAACGTGAGCACTTCAGAGCTTGAAAATGCCCAATACTTAATACCTTTGGAAGACAGCTTTAAGAGATTCTGACAGTACTTTTAATTATTTTTTAAACTTAAAATTCAAGAAACTGAATTGCATTTTTTATTGACTACATTTAAAGATGTTTGGGGACCAGTTCTCAACTCTGTGCTGTACCTGTATTATATACAGTTATTCAGGAGACAGGCAAGCAGAGGTAATGGAGACAACCAGGATGACTTAACCAAAGCCTCTTCTACTGCAGAGAAGGAATTGTTGACTCACGAGTTTAAGCAGATGCTAAATCTTGCAATTTCGGGCTCATAGATTCATAAGGAAATTAAGTTTTGTGCCAGTGTGTGGGGTCTTTTGATATTTTGACCTCTGATACATGTCGTGACCTCCTTTTGGAAGTCCTCTTTGTGCTTTGCTTTGTCTCTGTGTTCTTCCAATAATGGAAACATGAGATGTGACTATTATAAATTATTGTCAAGAATATAAATGTCTGTAACTTACAAAAGTATGAATAAAAAGGAAATCCCAGTCAGGTATCTACATACTGTGGTGAGGACAGGTGCCACGCTGGCTCCTTAGGGGTCGGGCCAGGCCTCCTCACGGCTTTAATGTGCCAGAGATGAGTTGAACCCCTCCAAGCAGAGTGTTTTCTAGACCTGACCCTGAGAACAACTTTGGCTTAACTCCTGTTACAAAATATGTTAATTCCTTGTCTTTCTCACCCCCACTCCCTGACACAGCTATTGCTATTTTATGTAGTCATTATCCACTTAGACTTGCCGCCACCCACCAAGGGGGAAGAATGACCTATAAAGGAAAGGTGATTGGATTGTACCAGACCTCTCGAGGCACACCACAGGCAAAAGAATGAAGTGACATGCAAAAAACTCCCAGCCAAGAATACCTTATCCTGCATAGCTCTACTACTAAGTCCTCACTCTTAAGAAATACTACAAGACTTAAAATCTAAACCAAACAGAGGCATGAAGATGAAGAACAAGATGCTGAATAAAACCACAAAATGATGGGAGACAGATGACAGTTACACACCTAAGTGCCAAAAAGAAACATAGATTAAAACTAAAGGGCTAGAAAACAATTCCACAAGCAGATGACCTCCAAAAGAAGGAAGGGACAGCCATACTTAGATAAAATAGACTTCAAGTTTAAAAAGGTGAAGAGAGACATAGAAGGACCTACATAATGATCAAGGGAACAATGTACCAAGAATATTTAACAGTCATTCATATCTACTCACCAAATGAAGGTGCACCAAAATACATTAGACAATTACTATCATCTCTAAAACAGACATGTAGTGTAAGAGACTTCAACAGCTCACTCACACCTATGGACATACCATTGAGAAAAAAAAAAACATAGTAACCCTAAATAAAGATCTAAACCACATGAGCCTAACAGGCATCATCCTCCCACAAAGATACAGTTTTCTCAACTGCACACCGATCATTCTCCAAGGTAGATCATGTTCTGGGCCATATGACAACTGTCAACAAATACATGAAGATCAAAATCATACCAACTAATTCTCTAGCCATAAAGGCATCAAAGTCTAAATCAACTGTGTAAAGCAAGGAGCCCCTGCCCCACCATCACATGGAGACTAAAGAACATGTTACACCAAATAAATACACACACAACAGGCCAGTATCTCTAATGAGCACAGACACTAAGATCCCTTGTTAGTCATAGCAAACCGTACTCAATAATGCATCAAAAGGATAATACACTGTGCCCAAATGAGATTTATCCCGGGACACAAGGATGGTTCAGCATCCAAAAATCAGTGTTATCCAAGGGAAAAAACAAACCACGATCATATCAGTAAATGCTGAGAAAGCATTTGATAAAATTCAACATCTGCTTACGATGAAGGCCTTCAAAATACTTGGGGGGGGGGGGGGAAGTAACATAATACAATAAAAGCCATACATGGGCCCTCCCTGGTGGCGCAGCGGGTTAAAGCACTGCACCAAGAAGCTGAAACCACTTCCGCATGAGTTCAATTCCCGCCTGCCCCAGAGGTGACCACGTGGTGAGGTAGACCTCTCCTGACCCGCCCGCTGCTCCCCTCAGCAGTGTACTTCGTCAATATGCCTGTTCTGTTCCCCACTCTGTCCTGGTGAAGCCTCTCACCGCCCCTGAACCTCTGGCCTGTACCCCAGTTCTATATGCACAAATAAATAAATCTTTAAAAAAAAAAAAAAAAGCCATACATGACAAACCCTCAGATAACATTCTTAATGGTGAAAAACAAGCCTTCCCATTATGATCTAGAACAAGACAAGGATGTTCATTCTCACCACTTGTTTTTCAACATTCTACTGGAAGTCATAGCTAGAGCAATTAGGCAAGAGAAAGACATACAAAGAACCCAAATAGGAGCAAGAAAGTAAAACACAATATATAGAAAGAACTCTAAAAAATTCATAGGAAAACTATTAAATAATAAACCAGTTCAGTAAAGTAGCATTTTACAAAATCAGCACAAAAATCAGTAGCTTTCCTATATGCATACAACCAGTCTGAAGAGGAAGTAATTAAGAAAACCATCCTATTTACAGTTGTACCACCCCCCCCCAAAAAAAAAGTTAAATACATGGTGGTAACAGGAGGTTAAAAGATTATATAAAGAAAATTATAAAACATTGTTAAAAGAAATAGAAGACACAAAGAAATGGAAAGGCATTCCCTGCTCATGGATCAGAAGAATTTACATTATAAAACTGTCTATCCCCAAAATTGCTCAAAAGAAATTTACATATTCAATGCAATTCCAATAAAAATCTCAAGGGCATTTTCCAAGAAATAGAATATTTCTGAAATTCAAATGGTATCTCACACACACACACACAAAACCTTGAATAGCCAAAGCTCTCCTGACTGAAATTAAAAAACAACAACAAAAAAAAGGAGGCATTATACTCCCAGGCTTTAAACTATACTACAAAGCCATAATAATAAAAACAATATGGTACTGGAACAAAAACAAGACATACAGACTAATAGAACTGTATTGAAGACCCAGAAGTAAAGCCACACATGGTCAAACTAATCTGTGACCTTAGTGAGCAAAGAATATACACTGGAAGAATAGTCTCTTCAATAAATGGTGCTGGGAAAACTGGACTGCCATGTGTAAAAATATGAAACAAGACTATTTTGTGTACACCATACACAAAATCCAACTCTAAATAGATAAAAGACTTGAATATAAAACCTGAAACCATAAAAAACATAGAAGAAAACACTCCGGGCATATATATACCTCAAAAGCATCTTGTAGGACTCCCTTCCAGAAGCAAAGTAAATGAAGGAAAAGAGAAGCAGCTGAGACTACATCAAACTAAAAAGTTTCTGGCAGCAGAGACAATAAACCAACACAAAGAGACCCCCCCACTGAATGGGAGAGAATATTTGCATACCATACAACTGGGCAGGGACCCACATCAAAAATCTACAAAGAGTTTATACAACAGAAACAAAGTAAACAACCCAGTCAAAAAATGGGCAGAAAAGACAGTTCTCCAAAGAAGAAATTCCAGTGACCAGTGGATTTATGAAAAAAATGTTCAGTATACTATAGTCTGGGAGATGCAAGTCAGAACCACAAGATATCATCTTAGACGGATTAGAATGACCCAACATAAACACACACACACACATACACGGATTAGAATGTATGACCCAACAAAAACACACAGTGAAAACAATTCCAACAAGTGCTGGCAAAGATGTGGAAGAAAAGGAGCTCTTACTGCTGGTGGGATTGTAAATGGGCCAACGCCATGGAAGCTCTATGGAGGGTCCTCGAAACACCAGAAATGGCTGTACCGACTTGATCCGTGAGGAATATACCCAAAAGGAATATAACTCAAAGGGAAACCTGGATTCCTGTGTTTGCTGCAGCACTATTTACAATAGCTAAGAGATGCAGACAACCTAAATGCCCCAAAACTGACGAGCGACCCAGGAGACACGGTCTATATACACGATGGAACACTGCTCGTGACCAGCGACGATGCACTCGGGCCGTTTAGGGCCAGGCAGCTGGAGCCGGAAGGCATCATGCTAAGGGAACTAGTCAGAAGGAAAAAGATAAATATGGGATGTTCTCACAGGGGGACACTAGGAAACCCAGCAGGAACAGGAAGAAGACAGAACTCGTATCAGAGGGGTCGAAGCGGGGGAAGGACACAGGGACTGTGGGCGCGGGTGAAGTGGTGGCAGAGTCACAGGGACTACACCTGTGGAAGGAAATCAGATAGTGCACAGAAATGAACAATGTAAGCAATAAAACTAACTTCAAAAAAGGAACCTTTGCCATGTGATGACAGGGATGGTCTTAGGGCACTATGTTAAGGGAAGTCGGTCAGAGAAGATACCCTGTGACCTCACTTTTCCATAATTTAACGACCCCCAAACAACAGAAACGACACGGCCAAGCGCATAGGTATAGGTACAGAGAATGGGTGCTACGGGGGAGAGTGGGTGGGAGGAATCAAAAATAAGAAAAAATGAAAATAAATAGTAAAAATAAAAAGCAAATACAGAGTGATGGCTGTAGAGTATGGTACCTATAATATTTGTTGACATAAGAAACACCCAGAAGGCTCTAGAACAAAGTCTTGTCAGTGGTTATGTCTACCTGGTGGACTTACAGATGACTTCAAAGCCCGCTGCCTGTAATATGTATGTATTTTCCAAATTTTCAACAGTGAAACCGACCCACCATAAAACCACAAGTCATGGTCAATTCTAACTGGAAAGACTGCCCACCAACCCTGAGAGCAGCGAGGTCTCCCCGCCTGGCCAAGCCCGGGGTCCACCTGAGACCACCTGGTGTTGTCTTTCTCTGACTTGACTTCGCGACCTCCTGCTGGGATGCCGCCTCCTTCTCCCTCTCGCGCGCCTCTCAGCACACACAGGTTCTCCTCCCTGAGCTTATTCCAGTTGCAGGGCTCCTGTCTCCCCACGGGCTGCTCCAGAGAGCAAGCAGAGCAGGCCAGCCGTGCTGCCTGCAGAAGGCACGCTCTGTGCTCCAGCGTCGGCCGCTGGCGGATGGCGACTGCATCCCTGCCCCCCACCCCCTGCGTCCCCCACGCCGGCCGTCCCTCAGAGGCAGGTGTCCTGCCGGCAGCGGAGCCTAGCCACACGTAGGTGACCCACGCCTCACCCAGCACCAAAGGGGAATTCCTAAGTGTCTGTCACTGAGGGCCCCGTTCTCTGCCAAGTGCGGGAAGGAGCTCCCCCGTCCCCCCGTGCTGTGAGCAGCCATCAGGCCCTTGCTCCCCCAAACAGGAAAGGAGAAGGAAATTGTCAAAGGTCTGCCTTGCTTCGTGTCTCATTTTAATTTCAAAGATTCACATTCAGACGAGAGTCCGTTCCTCCTGCAGACTTCTCATTCCGGAGACCAGAAGGCTGCCCCTTCCAGAGGGCATCACAGTGACCTGGGCGTTTGGCTAAAAAGCTGTGCTCAGCCCCATCCTCAGCATTCCACTCAGGAGATCGGGGATAGCCGAG